GGTTATATTGCTGGACTCCCATGTAGTCTATTACAGTTCAAGTCCCAGACCAGGAGGCTTAAAACTCACACCAGGTACATATACGTGTGTGCCCAAAATCCTGAGACGAGAATAGAGGAGAAGGGATTATAGCATGACCATCCTTGCTGGCAGGCTTAGTTTTCACTTTCTGTCTGTCTGTCTCTCTCTCTCTCTCTATCTCTCTATCTCTCAGGTAAGCACATGCACCCTATAGCAAAATCTCTCTCTTAAAAAAAAAAAGGTGTAAAAACATCAGTTAAGTATTGTGAAAATGCTTGTCAGGGAGGATAATGTATTGGAAGGTGTTTTGTAAAGTACATGAGCTATGAAGTTTGATTATGGTGGAAGCCATCATATATTACAGTTTCTGTTTGGGACAATGCATGAACCCCTCCCTAGAGCTGAGCAGTTTCTCCCCATTTTGCCTCACCACTGCATGTTCAGTAACTGGCGTGAGGTGCCTAAACCCTGGCTTGTGAATGCATGTGGACCTCTGTCTTCTTTCCATTTTGTATTACTTCCAAAGTAGTGTCACCTTCTAAGCTATTCCATTAAATCATGTTTGTCAGGTCTTTTTCCTTTAATATTTGTTTACTTAACGCGCTGCGACTAGTACTTTTCTAATACGATGGGGGGTGGATTGTGGTGTAGGATTCTTTGAGGGTGCTTGTCTCTCATCCTCTTTGTCACTCTCATGAAAGTAATAAATACACTTAACAAGAAACACTAAGGAGAGATAAAGGCTTAAAACGATGGAATAAAGTAGAAAGTTATCAGTGGTTTACATGTTAAGTATTGTTTCCCATGACTTTTGTCTCATATTTTAATGATTTGTATACTGGGTCATGACCTATTTTTTATTACTGTGCATTGTGGCCAGGATAGTTTGAAAGCCCAACCTACAGTTGATGTGACTGGTACTTTATCTTACCTGTTATGCACCTAAAGCATCCCCAGAGCTAGGTCAGGTGGGCACAGAAGAATTTGGGGTGGGATTGCCCGTTCAGGCCTGAGTAGACCTTCAGATCTTAGTTCCATCTCCATCTCCTACTGTATAGACATAAGGTTCAGAATTTGGAAGCTGAAAATATCAATAAAGGTGGCCATGGGAGTAGGGAAGCAGGAGGTGACCTCTGGTCCTGGGGCAGAGAATGCTTGTTTCATGTACTGCCTTGTTTTGTTTTGCTGGATTTGGATAATCTCTGCTGTCAGAGCAGAATTAATAGATATAGACCAAAGAATTTTTTCCTTTTTTTTTACTTTGGTGACCTCTAAATCTTCTTGTTCTTCATTCACATTTTTCTTGGTATAGAAAATTCAGAACTAGGGAACCAGCAGTTAGCGTAATGGCTATGTCGCTGGGCTCCCACATGGTCGACCGCGGTTCGCGTCCTGGACCCGGTGGCTTAAAACTCACACCTGTGGCTTAAAACTCTCGCCAGGCGCATGTGCGTGCGTGCCCAAAATCCCAAGAGGAGAATGGAGGAGAAGGGATTGCGGCATGGCCATCCTCCCTGGGGGGTGATTTCTCACTTTCTGTCTCTATGTCTCTCTCTGTCTTGAGAGCGCACGCGCCCTATAGCGAAAATCTCTCCAAAAAAAAAAATAAGGAATTCAGAACTGGCAAAATATTTTTTAAAATTATTATTTATTTAATTTTATTTATTCATCCATTTATTTTTTAAATTTGACAGAGACACACACACAGAGAGAGAGAGAGAGAGCGGGAGGCAGGGAGGGAGGAAAAGGGACAAAGGAAGCCACCAGGTCCGGGACTCGAACCATGGTTAGCCATGTGGGAGTGTCCAACACCTTAATCACCATGCCACCTGCTGGTCCCCAGGGCAAAATATTTTTCATAATAAGAGCTTCAACTCTGTTGCATGAGGATTGACCCATATCTTCTGTAGTTTGTGTAAAATTATTTTACTTTCTCAGGGCTGGCAAGTGGCATGGTAGTTAAGGGCACTGGACTCCCATATGGTCGATTGTGGTTTGAGTCCTAGTCCAGCAGCTTGTTTCCTCACTCTCGCTCTCATTCTCCCTCCCCCTCCCTCCCTTTCTGGTCAAATAAAAATAAATAAATAAATGAAGTTTAATGATTTTTTTAAAAATTATTTTATTTCTCATTTCTCATTTGAATGTTTGGTTGATAGTTTAGCCTTCATTTAAAAATGCCTTTTTTTTTTTTTAATTTAAGAAATTTGTTTATTTATTTATTTAATTCCATTTTCACCAAAGAAAGAAAGGGAAAGTGAGATAGCAAGCCACCAGGTCTGAGACTTGAACTGTGGCTGGCCATGTGGGAATCCAGCACCTTTTACCACCATGCCACCTACCGATTCCTAAAATTACTTTTTATGTGATACAGTTAGAAAGGGCACAGGGATGGGACCAGCAGATGGTGTAATGGTTACGTCACTGAACTCCCATGAAGTTGACTGTGGTTTGAGTCCCAGACCCAGCAGTTTAAAGCTCACACTGGATGCATGTTTGTGCATGCCCAAGATCATGAGAGGAGAATGGAGGAGAAGGGATTTTGATGTGGCCATCCCCCCAGGGGATGATTTCTCACTTTCTGTTTCTCTGTCTCTCTCTCTCTGCCTTTGGTGAGCACACATAACCTGTTGCAAAAATATCTCCAAAATAAAAAAAAAAAAAAGAAAGAAAAAGAAAGGTACAGTGATACAAAAATTTCAAAGATATTTTCATTTAATTTATTTTGACTCTCAGATCCTGGCTATAAGGGGGCTATTTTTGTTTATTTGGTTGGGTTTGTTTTGTTTCTTGCAACTGTGACTTTTAATTTCATGTTTTGCATAGACCGACGCTAAAAAGTAGCTTGCATTGAATTGGCTCTATGACCTAATAATTAAGGATTCATAAGTTAGGTACATGCTAGTGCACACCCTAAATCGCAACAGGATGGAGAAACAGAAGAAAGAGGGCTGCAGCACGACCACACCTCATTGAGGAGTGCTTTCTCTCCCTGTTCTGTCTCTCTAACAAACTTGGCCTGTCCTTCAGTGTTTTTTTGTTTGTTTGTTTGTTTGTTTGTTTTTAAAAAGGCAAGAGGCTAGCAGGTGGTATGGATAGTGGTTAGGAAACTGGACTCCCCACTGCCAAATGACCATAATTTGAGTCCTGGACTTCAGTGTTTTTTTGTTTGTTCTCTCTCTCTGCTAAGTGCATGTGCCTGATAGCAAATTTAATAATAATAATAATAAATTTAAATGTTTAAAAAGGCAAAAGAAACATAGCTTACATTATTCTTTGACCATTTCCTATTTGGTTATGTAAGTGAATGGAACACAGACGTAAAAAAAAATAATAATGCCGGAGGTTGCATGCACTTACTGGAGGGCGGGAGAAGGGAAAACATCTCCCCATGGAGAATGGCCATGCCGCAATCCTTTGTCCTCCACGTCTCCCTCCTTTTGGGATTTTAGGCATGCACACATGAATGCTTGGCATGTTTCTCAAGCCCCTGTGTCTGGGACTCAAAGCACACAGCCGGCCATATGAGGTCTAGCCATTGTAACCATCAGGCCACGGCTGGCCTCCACCTCTGTTTTTAAGTCTAAAATCAGTATGTGCAGGTACATTGGGCTGTTGGAAGTCATGGCATATTTCTTCTGTTTTTCTACAAAAATGCATCATGACTTTTCCAATGACCCAATGATTTTAGAATAATTACTAAAATGTGTAAGCATTATTCTACTTGTTGATTGCTTTATAAATAGCATATAAACAATTTGGACTTTGATAATGATATAATTATAGCTTTTTTTCCATTTCACAGAATACAAAATGTCCTGAAGGAACAAAACCCATGCTAGTATTTGCTGGTAATGATTTTGATGCAACAGAGGACTACAGAAGACTAAAAAGTCTTCTTATTGGTAAGTAATTTAATATTTATTATCTACAGGGGAGATAACCACATCTCAGTTCCTTCTTTCCTATTCTTCTCTTGAGACTTTGGGCACATAAATGCAGGTGCCTAGTGTTTTTCAAACTACTGAGTCCTGGACTCGAACCATGCAATCGACCATGTGGGATCCAGCTACCTTGATCTCTATGCCATTTTGCTAGCCCAACCACTTCACTCTAGATATATAACTTTTTCTTTTTGATTTCTTTTTTTTTGTTTTTTTCTTTTCATTATTTTTTGCTCACTTAACTATCAGTAGAATTTAAAGGGGTTATACTCTTAAAAATGATATTTTTTTTTTTTGAGAGGTTTTTCTATAGGGTTCGTGCATTCGCCAGCCAGACAGAGACAGAGAGACAGAAAGCAAGAAATCACCCCCCAGGGTGGATGGCCATGCCACAATCCCCTCTCCTCCATTCTCCTCTCGGGATTTTGGGCACGGATGCACAAATGCTCGGCGTGAGTTTAAGCCACCGGGTCAGCCACTGGGTCCGTGACTCCAACCACAGTCCACAGTCGCCTACATGGGAGTCCAGCAGCATAGCCATTACGCCAACTGCTGGTCCCCAAAATGATTATTTTTAGATATAATTTATATATATATGTGTGTGTGTGTGTGTGGTTTTTTTTTTTTTTTTTTTTTTTGCTAGAGGGTACTTGTGCTCTTCAGAGGGGCAGAGGGGAGGGGAGAACATCCACCCTTACTGTGTTGCATGGTTATCCTCTTCTCCATCTTTCCTTCCTTTCGAGATTTTTGGGCATGTACACATATGCTCCTGGCGTGTTTCTCAAACTGCCAGGTACAGGACTCAAGCTACACAGTCAGCCTTGTGGGTACTGGCTACCTTAACCTCCAGGCCTAAGAGCCAGCCCACTTAATATTTTTCAATGGCATAGTAGCTTAAGTATTTATTTAGTCTTATATATACTTTATAAAATGCTTTCAGCCATTTTTTTTTATTACTGGCATAATTAAATTGAAAAGTTAAAATTTCACGATTATTAGACATCATCCACTTTCATTTCAAAGGCTTCTTTCAGTTTTGCTAAGTTTAATTCTTGAGACTTTTTGCATAATAATCCCAAAATAACTTGCCTTCTTGATCTTCTACAATTTCCTTTCCTATTAACAAAATCATTTGTGGGGGCAGTCAGGTGGTGTGGTAGTTAAGGATGTTGGATTCCCATATGGCCGACCGTGGTTCGAGTCTCAGACCTGGTGGTTTGCTTTCTCACTTTCTCTCTCTTGCTCTGCCCCTCTCTGCTCAAATTAAT